GACGAGCCTCGGGGCTCCGCACTCCGGCTGGCGGCGGCGCGGGAGGACGAGGTCCGGGCGCGCTCTTAGCCTGCTCCCGCTTCGCGGTATTTATCCCCGGCGTGACGAGCTTCGAGGCCCACGTGACAGCCTCCCCACGCGACTTTCTGCTCAATATTTAATTAGCCGCCTCCTCTCCTTTCGCTGGCGTGATGGAGAGTTTCCGAGACGGTAGCCCGTCGGTGCCCAGAACATCTGGACCCAATTGGGTTCTCGGTGACGCAGCCTCAGGAAAATCGATGTCTCGCCATCCAATCCACAGCGGCCCGTCTTCCTCCCTCCGCACGGCTGACGCCCCCTCCTCTCTTCAGAAAAGGGTTCTTGACACCTGAGATTACTCATCACGATGGAGCAAAGTGACTCATTCCTCGGACTTTGACAACTTTTCTGTGTCTTCAGACGTCAGGAGAAGTTGCACTTTTGAGGACAGCCAGATAACTTTAGGCGTTAAGATTGCGTTCTAGGAAATTGGGCCAAGAAAGGGGCGCGGGGGGAAGGGGGTTTCCCTTCATTTTCCGTCTTCCGAGGGTCTGAAATACAGCATATTTCTGTGACTGGAGCATCCCTCTGCTAAATCACCAGCATAATGGCATTTCAACGGGATTACAAAAGGATTTTCAGTCTCGTAGTCTTTCAGAGAATGGAAACATTATTTTACACTTGGGAGAAAGGGGAATTTAAGCGTGGCATTGTATGTAGATCTTAGTGTTCTGCCAGTGCCATCCTTGGGTATTTTTTTTTTTCTCCCAAAAAGCCCTCTTTCTTGCCACATCCAGGAGAAGGGATTGGAGGAGGAGTAGTTTGGCTTCTTTCCTACCGATTCGGCTACCGATCACAGAACCAGCAAGATAGTTATTGCAGGATATTCTCCGTTGTGATGAATGGACCCTAAAGATCATAGATTTCTCCTGTGCAGAACAGTAAGCCTGGGGAGGATGCTGGCAGGGTGTTATTAGCAGGACAGAATTATTAGACAAATAAAGTGTTTATAACACAATAGTATCTTTCATTTCTAAATGAGCCACATGATATGCCATCTTGAGTGGAGCTGTTTTTTTGTATTATATTTTTCAGTTATAAATTTTTAGTATAGTATGCAAAGAAAATACTTTTTTACATCTCAGACCTTTAACATTTCCCTCTTTAATACTTTCTTATCACTGAATTTTGAAATTGACGTGCATCCTCATTTTTAAGCCTCATAACTTAAGCATCTTTTTGTTTTCAAAACTTTTATGTGGGAAATTATAAATACATGCAAAAGTAGAGAAAATCATGGCCTTGAAACAATTTGCAATTTTAATCTACAACCATTCGTATTTCTCCTCCACTCAGAATATTGCCAAGCAAGTTTCATCATTGTGAGTAGTGTAGATATTACAGCCTTTTTATCTAATAGGTAAGGAAAAATTTTTTTGCATGGGAATGTTTTCAAATTTTATTGGTACATGTCTGCAGTACACAGTGATTACATTCACTGTGGGGAACTGGTACATGTACATTAACACATCTCAATTCCTTTTCTCTCTTCCCCTCCACTACTTTTTTCTCTTTTGTTTGGCCAGCGTCAAATTCATTTATTTATTTTCTAAGTCCTTATCAAGTTAATTATTAGAAATACCGATTAACAGCCATACTAACAGGCCAAAACATAAAACACATAAGACAGTTATACAAAACCAAGATACACTTCTAGAGACATTGTCTGTGTAGGATTACAATAACGTTCTCTTGCTATTTTTCCTATTCTGTCTTTTATTTTATACTTTACTTATTTATTGGTTTTCTCATATAAGAGAAATCACACAATATTTAAGCTTACGGATCTGATTTATTTCACTTAACATTATGGTCTCAAAGTGCATCTATTTTCCCACAAATCACCCAGGTTTATCCTTCTTTATGGCAGAGTAGTACTCCATTGTGTATAAATACCACATTTTCTTTATCCATTCATCTATTGATGGACACGTAGACTGCTTCCAAGATTTAGCCTCTGTTAATTGCACTGTTATAGACACAGGTATACATACATCACTGTGATATGATGTCTTTAACTATTTTAGGGAATAGAAGGGGAATAGTTGGGTCAAATGAAATTTTTATTTTTGGTTTTTTGAAGAATCTCCATTTTGATTTCCATAATGGTTATACCAGTTTACCCTCCCATCACCAGTTAAAAAGTGTTCTTTTCCCCCTCAGCCTCTCCAGAATTAGCTACTGGTTGATTTCCTGAAGATAGCCATTCTTTCTGGAGTGAGATGGAATCTGAGTGTTTTCATTTGCACTTCTCAAATGTCCAGGGATGTTGAACATTTTTTCATGCACTTATTGGTCATTTTTACTTCTTCATCAGAGAGATGTCTATTTAATTTCAGATGCTCATTTTTGACTGAGTCTTTAATTTAGGGGTGGGCCTAATTTTTGGAGTTTTGTATATATTCTGCCTTGTCTAAGGAGTAATTGGCAAATATTTTTTCTCCTTTCTATAGGCTGCCTCTTTGCTCTTGTTAGTGGTTTCCTTTGCTGTGCACCAGGTCTTGAATTCGATGTGATCCCACTTATTGATTCTTGGTGGAGTTTTCTCGCAAATGGGCTTCTGTTCACAAAGTCTTTGCCCTTGTCTTCAAGAATTTCACCCATTTTCGTCTCCCTACAGATGAAATGTTTCTGTTTTAATATTTAGTTCTTTGATCCATTTTGATTTTAGTTTAGTGCATGGTGAGAGTTATGGGTCTAGGTTCAGTTAAGAGCACGTGGATAGTCATTTTTCCAAACACCTTTCATTAAAGAGGCTGTCTTTCCTCCAGCAAAAGAAGTGGCCCTCTGATCTAAGATAAGATAGTTGAGTATACCTGGAGTTGTTTCAGCATCCTCTATCTGTTTCCATTGATCTCCAAGTCTGTGTTTTTGCCAATACCATGCTGTTTTTTTCTTAAATCACTGTAGTTTTGTAGTATTCATGATTTGAAGACCAAGATTGTGATCCCTTTGCCTTGCCCTTATGGCCCAGAATAACTTTTGCTATTTTAGATCTCTCCTGATTCCATATAAGTTTCAGGATTATTCTCTCTAGTTCTGTGAGGAATGCTATTGGTATTTTGATTGGGTTTGTTTTAGATCTGTATAACAGTGTTGGCAATATGGTCATTTTGATTAAACTGGTTCTGCCTCGGCAGGAATAGAGGATATCTCTCCATTTTCTGATGCCCCTTTCAATTTCCAAAAGGTAAGTATCTTTAAATAAAAATAAAGCTACTTCATAATTCCATCCAAAGCATCATAAAATACACCTTATACCATTATTCAGGCAACATTTAAATATTCTCCAAGTGTCATAGTCATTCCTCTGTAATACAGTTTAATGCTTAAAATCAAAATTGTAAATTCCATACACATCTTGCCTTATTCAAAACTATAACAAAATGCCATGAACTGGATGTCTGATGAACAGAAATTTTTTTCCTTACAGTTCTGAGGCAGGCAGTAAAGATCAGCATGTTAGGGGCACCTAGGTTCTGGAGAGGGCCTCTTCCAGGTTATAGATTACTGCTGTCTTTTTTCCTTGTTGTTCTTCACCTTGCAGAAAGAGAGCAAAATAGCTCTCGGATGCCTTTTATAAAGGCACTGAGCCCATCCCCGAGGGATCTGTCCTCATGACCTAATTATGTTGCAAAAGCCTATTTTTTAATACTATCACTTTAGGGGTTAGAATTTCAACATATGAAGGACACAATATATTCATTTCATTGCATATCTTAGTCCCCTACTCAATAGTTCTCTATCCCTTCTCCTACTGTTATAGTTTATTGGTCAAATAGGTCAGTAACGGGTAGTACATTCTGGAATTTACTGATTGCCTTTTAACTTGTTCCTCTGAGCAATGCTCTCCTAATTAGTACTTGTAGTATATAGAAGCTTGATTTTGTGTAAGTTCTTTTTTTCCCCCCTTCTGGACAGGGCTATTTTCCATGCATTCTGCAGTTCTTTTAGGAAGTAAATGATATCCGGTTGTTTTAGCTTCTAAATTGTCAGCAGGTGTTGATCCTCTTCTAGTTTCAAAGTGATTCTGTTCTTATTTTATCATGAATTCTTTATATATTAGCTGAGCTTCTCCAAATAAAGAGACAGTTTTTCCCAACAATGATTTAGTTATTATAAGACATAACTGGTATAGAAAAGATGGGATAAGTGATTTATTAGTTCCCTCTAACAATTTAAAAATAAATTGATAAATTAGCACCTTCAAAAATGACTGTTTTGAAAAAGAGCTATTATGACTTCATACATTTAAAAACATCTGGAATATTTTTACTCATGGCAGATATTAATTGATGCTGAAATTATGCCATTCTTGGCCTGCAGGTGACACTTCAAATTGGCTCCTGAGATTTTTGATATAACTTTAATAGAATTTGACAGTTTTCTTGTTTTTGCTATGATGAAATATTTCAGGTATAAATTGTGTATTTCCCGCCTCAGACCTGGATTCTTCCTCTAAGAAATCCTCATTTCCTTTCAATTAGAAATGACAATTACAGATCATAAACTGTTCATTGTAGGTATCCACTGCTATCACATTATTCATTGCTTCAAGGCCAGTTGATCCA